CAATGATCACTGGGAGCACCCCTCTGTGGGAGAAAGCTGCCTCCGAGCTCCTGCCCCGTTGCCAGACAATTCAGTTCCTCCCTGTATGTGTCTGGATCCTGCGCTGGAGCTCAGAGGAGTTGAGTCTGAGTAAGTTCTCTTGTTGACCCTTTAAAAGGAACTCCTGAGTCTCTAGTAGCCTCTGAGACACTCAGCAACACTCCCCACTGGTTTTTACCACTCGCAGTTACAGGGACTTATATTCCCAGCTCTGGAACTCTGGGCTGGGGGTCTGGTGTGAGGCTGGGACCACTTGCTCCTCACGGGTGGCCTCTGCAGAGATGATCTCCCTCCTGATTAAATAAACAGCACATGTGGGTGTCAGACCAGCTGTTCTGTGCCTCAGTTCCTCCTACCAGTCTCAGTGTGCTTTCCTTACTCCTATAGTTGTAGGACTTCCATTCAGCCAGCTTTCTGGCAGTTCTGAATGATGGTGGTTCTGTATTTTAGTTGTAATTTCGATTTGCTTGTGGGAAGCAGTGAGTAACGCCTTTACCTGTGCCACCATCTTTTAGCTTTTTCTAATTTTCTTAACAATGTCTTTTGAAGTGCAAATGTTTTAAATTGTAACAGTACTGTTGATATTTGCCTCTGTTGATCTAATGAGTTTGCTGACCACTGTGCTAACCCACGTTCACAAAGATTTTCTTGTTTCCTTCTAGGTGTTTATAACTTTAGCTTGTTTCTTTAGATCTATTACCCATTTTTAAGTTAATGTTTATATGTGGTGTAAGGTAAAGGTTGATTTATAGGTATAGTTTTTCTATGTGAATATCTAATTGTTCTAGCACAGTTTGCAGAGTAGAATACCCTTTCTCTACTGAATTACTTTGGCACTTGTGTAAAATCAGTTACTACCCTTAAATGTATGGATCTCTTTCCAGATCCTGTATTTTATCCCCGTTGATCTAAATATTTATCGGCATACCAATTTCACAAATGTCTTGAGTGTGATATTAAAAGTCTTTTAGCTTTGTTCTTTTTCAAATTTGTTTTAAATATTTTAGGTTCTTTGAATTTCCATGTTAATTTTAGAATCATATTATCAGTTTTACAAAAACAAAAACAAAAAAAAAGCCCGTTGAGCCATTGACTAAGATTATGTTGACTCTAGATCAATTTGGGGAAATTGACTTTAACAGTTTTCCAATCTAATATGGTGTCTCTGTCCACTTATTTCGATCTTATTTAATGTCAGTGATGTATTATAGTTTTCATAACATAGGTCTTGCACATCTTTTGCTATATTTATTCATAAATCATTTTTGATGCTGTTGTAAGTTTTAGTTTTTCAAGTTTTAATTTCTAATTGTCCAATATTATACAGAAATACAAAAACCTTTTTGTCTGTTAACCTTATATCCTGCAATCTTGTTAAACTCATGTATTATTTTTAGTAGCTTTTTGAGGTAGATTGCTTAGCATTTTCCACATGGTCAATCCATTTCATTTACGAACAAAGAGACTTTTCCTTCTTTTCATTCTTTGTACCTTTTATTTCTTATTGCAATGGCTAGAACTTTTAACATTATGTTGAAAAGGCATTATGAGATCTTTGCCTTGCTCCTAATCTTAGGAGAAAAAACAGTTTTCTTTACTGTTAAGTGTGATGTTAGCTGTTGGTTTTCTTAGATGCCTTACATTAGATTAAGTTCCTTTCTAGTTTGCTGAAAATTTTCATCATTACTGGGTATTGAATTTTCTCAGGTGCTTTTTCTACATCTATTGAGATAATCTTCCTAAAAATATCTGTTAGTGGTAGGACTTTATTTCATTGTAACATTATTATATATTGTCATTTATTTCATATAACATTTCATGAGGTCGATTAATTTTTGTCATTAATCAAATTCAAATAAATGCAATCCTAAATGCTTGAAAAATGGTTAGCTAAATGAATATAAATAGTGAGCAGAAGGGAATAGGAAAATTTAACCTAGGATGAAGAAGAACTGATAAATTATGCAAATAAAATCATTAATTAACATATTCTATCAGTATGGTTTAGATGGTTTAATAAATATCATTAGTTTTTATCTTAGGATGGAATATCTTCCTCAAGGAGGGAGGTTGTTAATATTTCTAAAACATTTAGAAATGAATAAAACATTTAAAAATGTACATAATTTTATTTTAAATTAAATAGATTGGATATTTTTAATAACTCACTTTTATAAATAACACTTATTATTTTTAGTAGAATAAAGTCTCTTTCTTTTGCTTAGTTCTTGGGATTGGTTTTATGAAAAGTTAGTTTTTGATGTTGCTTTGACTTGAGTGTTTTAGACAGACAGAGTTTTATAACTTTAAAACTCTAGTAAGTTTAAAATCTAATGTGGAGAGTCTAATATGTTTTGTTTTATTTTGTTTTCTCTTTTTAGTTAGGCATACGTATTATTTAATTCATACTGAACTGTTTTATCCCCTGAGCTTTGTTTCTCAGAGATCATTATTAAATGTTGGTTATGGTTCTGAGTCATAGCAATGTGAATTGCGTATCCTTAGTACTTGGGAAGAGCCAGTACTACTGTACTGCAAGTAGCCAGGATGTTTGTTTGCCACGTATGCCTTGTTCTGGATTTATGTAAACCAACTGGAGCTTGCTTTGTGGTTAACTTGAAAAGGCTGTGGTTTTGTTTTTATCCTTAATCTTGAAACAGGAGAACATGAAGTATTTTTACACCTGGTTCAAAACTCCCTTATTTGATTATTCTGATTTGCAATTGCTATTAATATTTTTCTTATCTGGCTAAGCTTAGGGTTTGAGTTTCATATTTAATTTCAGACATCAGTGTTTGTGTGTATGTGTTGCAAAACCCTAAAAATAGCAGTATGAGGCTTTCTAAGTTACTCTTGATCTTAAAGGAACTTTTAAAAATCAAATTAATATTTGAATTATCTCTTTGAAATACATCAGCAAATTTAAAAAATGTTACTTTGAGTTACTTTTAAGTGTTTTTATATGTGTTAATATGAAATTGTTAAATAATAAAAATAGTGTGCCTTCTGTGAAATTACATTTCTATTGGAATTAACACTGAAAAAGTAGGAACTTGTCATGTAAAAGACACATTAAAATAATTAGGAATTTATACTAAAAATTACATATGAAATTACAAAATATCCAATTCAGAATTTAGTAGCTGCACACGAAGTGTAATTATATTAGAACATTTGTTGTACTTTTAAAATACCAGGAGGGCTGCAGTCTTCAATGCTTTTTGTATTCTCTAGCCTACTTTAATTATGTGGGCCATGTGGGAGGGTCTTTCCCTTTCTGTTGGCCATGTGCTTAGTGTCCCTGACCTCTATTTTGCTTTTCTGCTGCTAATGTGCTGTGAGTTTGGAATTACATAATTGAGTTTAGGATAGAGTTGGAGTTGGAATTAGGAATATTGTTGCTGCACTTCAAAAATTAAGAATCATATGGGCATACAAGTAATGAAGGAATAAGAAAGTATAAATTGATGTCTTTAGTTTGATAGTAGCTATCAAAAATTAAATATCCATACTTTTGACCCATTGGGTCTGCTTGTAGGGGTTTAATCCATAGCAATACAGACATGTGTGCAAAAGATAAAATGCTACCATTCTTAGAGTCTATGGAATCTTTATTTAAAATGTAGTTATAAATGTAAATACATGCTTTAAAAAAATAAGACATTTCTTTGCACTGGTGGGATCCCTTGGCATGGCCTACAAGGGTTGGGGCAAACCGGCTCTCCAACATTCCTCGAGGGATTCCAGATTGTGAGAGGGCATAGGCCAGGCCAGGGGACCCCATGGTGCATGATCGGGGCCGGAGAGGGACCGAGGGAGGGCTCCAGGGCGTGTCCGACCCATTTTATCCAGTCCCCATTGACCAGATCCCAGCAGCAAGTTAATCTACCAGTTGGAGCGCCTGCCCCCTGGTGGTCAGTATGCATCATAATGACTGGTCAAACAAACAGTTGGACACAGCATATTAGGTTTTTAAAAAAATATATATTTTATTGATTTTTTTACAGAGAGGAAGGAAGAAGGATAGAGAGTTAGAAACATCGATGAGAGAGAAACATCTATCAGCTGCCTCCTGCACACCCCCTACTGGGGATGTGCCCATTTCCCACAACCTAGGTACATGCCCTTCACTGGGATCACAGGCTGATGATCTATCCATTGAGCCAAACCGGTTTTGGCTAGGCTTTTATTATATAGGATTGTTGATGTAGTGAGTAATGGAGTTCAACCTGTATGTTTATCAATAGAGGAATAAGTGAATTTCAGCATGTCTGTACTCTGGAATGCTGTGAGGAGAGGGTACTATGAAGTACGGAGGCTCTGGAGTCAGGTTGTCAGGTTTGCATTCTGAATCTATCATTTGCCAATTGCATGACAAAGGGCCTCAGTTTCCTCATCTATAGAATGGAGGTAATTGAATCTATTTGTGTGACAATTAAACCAAATTGTATAGATCAGTGCTTAAAATATTAGTGCTCCATAACATTAGTCTGTGTTAAAGTATGACTTTGCAGTTATTAAAAAGAATAAAAGGCATTTATAAAATTCTAGCATGGAAAATCCCACCATAATTTAAGTAAACTTATTCTAGAGAAATGTGTTCATATGACATTAGCATTTATTTGCAAATAAAAAATTTTAATGATATATGTTCATATATTTTAATATATGTAAATAAATCTGAGAGGATAAACTCCCATCTTAACAGTAGTTACCTCTTTTGAATAAAATTGGGTGGAGGGGAAGCAGATTATCATATTTTTAAAGAAATGTCTTATTTTTTTAAAGCATGTATTTACATTTATAACTACATTTTAAATAAAGATTCCATAGACTCTAAGAATGGTAGCATTTTTTGATTAGCCTTTATTTTACTTAAAAAACAAAACAAAACAAAGCTGAAAAGCTTTTCTTCTCTAAAGATGTGTCTCACTAGTGACTCATTCAGATTTTCCTTGTAGGAACATGCTTATCCAGCTGATGAACTCATGCCTTTAACCTGCAGAGGTCGAATTAGAGGCGAGGAGCCAAGTCGGGGTGATGTTGACGATGCCTTGGGAAAGTGAGTATTATTACAGGGATGGCAGGCATCTGAACGTTCCTAAGTCCGAGACTTCTTAGGAGCAGTGTACGGTCGTGTTTCTGGGGATTGCTTGATTTTCAGTGACTGCTTTAAGTATTATATTAAGTGTCTTTATTCCCTCTGTTGTCTTCTGTAAAAAATTAATTAATTTGCCTCTTAGATCAGTGAAAAGTCGAGTTGTTTAAAAAGGATGTCACTTTTAACATGTATAAAGTCATTGACATAATGTGTTGATGCTTTAATGTTTTTATTTGCATTAAAAAGTGCTAGTAAATATTTCTATTCATTTTGAAGGATGTGGAGCTGAAAAGAAATATAATGTTAAGGCTTTTACAGTTCTTCCAGTGCCTTATAAGTTAAATTGTACTACAGATGCATGGGGTACTAGTTAATAGAAACTGCCATTCAGTAGGATATAGATCCATCTGCATATACATTCATGGCTAAAATAATCAGAATTCTAATGTTTTGTGTCTCGTTATACCTGTTTCTTAGATTTTCCCTGACACTGATTGATTCTTTGGACACTCTTGTGGTAGGTTTGATTCTTCTTGAATTTACTTATGTTATAAATTTCATAATATGCACATAGTAAGTCTGAAATAGAAGCCTTTAGAATTCCATATATATTGATCTTTGCTTCTAAATAAATCTTTTACACTCAATAGAGTTATGAATGTCAGATAAAATTCTGTAAAATCATGGAGATACTCAGCTAATTTATAGGTATGTCAGCTTAAGGTTGTTGCTGCAGAATTTACATAGATTTTGAGAATGAGAAGGGAAAGCAGTCAATTTAAAATCAGGTTTATTTTATTTTACTCAGTCCTTACTCTGAATTTTACTTTTACCTGAATTTCATTCAGGTATTCTTTTGGACTATTTTATGTCTAAGTTAAAATTTTTAGTGAGAGTATCAAGTCAAGTAAAAAAGCATTACAGAATATTATCAAATGAAAAGATTAAACAGTTAAGCAAAAGAAAACTACTTTAAAATTTTTTAGTTATTGATTTGAGAAAGAGAAACATTGATTTGTTATTACACTTATTGTGCATTCATTGGTTGATCTTGTATGTGCCCTGACTAAGGATCGAACCTGCGACCTTGGCATATGAGGATGATGTTCTAACCAACTGAGTTACCTAGCCAGGATCAGAAAACTACTTTTAAGGGATCTAGGATCTAAATAATATCTAATTGTGCCATCGTAATTTAGACTGAAAAATCAATGCAGCCTGTGTAGGGACAGTGACCCCTTCATGGAACTCACCACAAGAATCCACGGAGTTCTTAGACTCTCGTGGTGGTCATCATCATCATCATATCACTTAAGTACTCTACTGGAAGTACTTCACATACATTGCTTCATTTAAGAAAACAATCCTATGAGAATAGGTATTCCCTCTTTGTGTATATGAAGGAACTGACTCAGAGATAGAAATTACTGTGATTAGATAGGTAATGAGAAGGAACCAAAATTCAAATCAGAACTTGCTCTTGACCTCACATTGTACTGCCTCCTTAGTTAAGAGTTGGGGCGTCCACGTGGTGAAGGTGGCAGGTGGTGTTTGGTTTAGGGTCAGTTGAAGGATGTGCTTTCTTTTAGGAAGTAACTTTTAAAATTATGTTTAGTGCACAGGATGGGTTTTTTTTGTTTAGACTTGGAAACCACATCCCTGTGGTAGCTGTAGGTCATGGGTTATATATATTAAGAAACCAGTTAACAGTTCTGATGATGATTGATTAAAGTCCTAATAATATTTCAGTGTCTTAAAAACTTTATAAAGATTCCTTATAATATAATTAAGCACTTGTTCGTTTTCATTTTAGATATGACATTATTATATGTTTAAGGGAAATATTTTTTTAAACATTTATAATTTTTTTAAATTTATATTTTATTGATTTTTTACAGAGAGGAAGAGAGAGGGATAGAGAGTTAGAAACATCGATGAGAGAGAATCATCGATCAGCTGCCTCTTGCAAACCCCCTACTGGGGATGTGCCTGCAACCAAGGTACATGCCCTTGACCGGAATTGAACCCGGGACCTTTCAGTCCACAGGCCGACGCTCTTTCCACCGAGCCAAACCAGTCCCTAAGGGAAATATTTTGTATATGTCACTTTTTATAGTCATAAGATGTTAATTTGCTTTTAGTAGCTTATTCTGAGGATTTTTTTTGACTTTGTAGTAAATAACTTGATTTTTATACTTTTGTTATAGGTATTAAATAAAACTAAAGAATTTGAAGATGCAGTGAAAAAAGTTTTAAGAGATGTTAATTTAGATAATGATGTAGTTGTATCAGTCTTTGAAACAAACATCAGAGTTCTTGGGTAAGTATGTAAGACATTAAAGCTATAATTTTAAAAACAAAAGCTTACGGTATACTATTTATTTCTTAATGGTAGTAAAGCAAGACATTTCTTATGCTTAAAAGATAAGAGTTGGGGTATGAAACAGCTGTGAGAGGACTGTGCATTGACTCAGGCTCAGGTAGCAGCAGGTTTTGGAAATAGTTACAGACTCGGTATACATCCCTGTTTATTGTTTTAAAAAACTCAGTTGAATGCTTGCCTATTAGCTACATCACAGGTTTTTCCCTAGCAATATAGTTTGCTAACCTTTGCCAGCACTTCTTCAAGCCAAATGAAACTAAATGTATAGGATACCTTTCAACTACACAATTTGAAATACTGAAACATTTAAAAATATGAGTTGCAATATTCAGACCTCAACACTATTAGTTTTATATTTAATGGTTACTTTTATGTTGAACTCATTTTCTTTTGTCAAAGTAAGTCTATTCAGTTAAATTTAAGAAATAATTTTTAAAAGTTAAAAACAAATTAAGAAATAGTTATATAGCTTTTTGTTTTTAATTTTTTAATGTTATACTTAAGAGAGGTAAAGATTGCATAATGATATAAATTAGTTTAATTTTTTTAAAAATTAAATTTGTCAAGCTTGTTAAAATAAGTGACTTCTTTGATGTTCTTTAAGAAAATTTTAGGCTTTTTAGAATGCTAAACACTTTATAACAGGTAGAATATCTGATTTTTTTAATACTTATAAAAGTTTTTTTAATTATAATTATAAAAGTTTGCCATAAATGAGTAGCTAGGGTTAGGTAAGAAATTAAGTTCTTTCGTGATCGTATTTGTGCAAAGTTGTTGATAACGAGACACCCACATCTTTTTTTTTTTTTTTTTTAAATATATTTTTATTGATTTCAGAGAGGTAGGGAGAAAGAAACATCAGTGATGAGAGAGAGAATCATTGATTGGCTGCCTCCTGCACACTCCCTACTGGGGATTGAGCCTGCAACCCAGGCACATGCCTTGCTGGAAATGAAACTCTGGACCCTTCAGTCCACAGGCCAACTCCCTATCCACTGAGCCAAACTGGCTAGGGCAGCACCTAGATTTTTTTAGGCGGTGACGTTCAAGTACCTGTAAGATATGAGTTATGTTTCACCTCTGTGATTGCAGGGGTCTTTTGGGTGGACACTCATTGGCAATCATGCTGAAAGAAAAGGGCGAGTACATGCAATGGTACAATGATGAACTTCTGCAAATGGCAAAGCAGTTGGGTTACAAGCTTTTACCAGCTTTTAATACCACCAGTGGCCTTCCTTATCCAAGAGTAAGTAATTCTGAAAAATATATACTTTATATTTTTTATATATAAAGTCTTTATATACTGCTTTTGCTATTTAAAACAGTGAATTTTTGTGATTGGAGCCATTGTTCCTTTCCTGCTTGAGACTGGAGACAAGTGCTTTATAGCTAAATAACAAATTTATATTGACATTTCAGTTAATTTGGATTTGAGTGGTGTGAAAATTTAGATGATTTTAAACCTTTTATGTGTCACTGCAGAGGAAAAAAAATTAGTTTATGCTGCAGAGGGGGGAAAAAAAGATGTTTGGGCACTGAATGTGTGGTGCAGAAGATGCAGTAGAAGCAGTGAGAGTAGGTGAACTGTCCAGAAGAGAGTTTAGAGAGAGGAGGGGAATGGGGAGCAAGTGGAGCGTTGAGGAGGGGAGTGTTCAGGGACATAGGGAGGAGAAGTACAAAGTAGTGTATGGCATCATAAAATCTTAAATAGAAAGCTTCAAAAGGAGATGTTCTAGAAAACATTAGAACTGTGTGCAAAGAGTGCCTTGAAGATGTATCATGGTAGAACAAATGGAAAGAAGGGTTCAGTCAATGAAAGTATAGGACCATTCATTTTGAAATTTCTTCTCTATTGGTTAAAGAGTCATTTGATGGTAGAGTCATTTGAGAGTTTTATGCTGTGTGTGCCCCCTCACCCCCCAAAAAAGGTTCTATTTAAAGCAAAGGGTTAGAAGACTTCAGATATAGAAAAACCTCTCTCTTCTGATTTATTTCATTCTTTATTAACACCATTACTCTCTCCCTCTTATCCAAATCAGACACCGCAGCCATTACCAAGCTCTGTTCAATTTTTTCTTATTGCTACTATTGCTATTACTATAGTTGAAACCAATATCATTTCATTGTGAAGCTATTGTAAATGCCTGTTTTACTCTTTTCTCTCTGGTTTATGCTTAGAGACTTAACAGATTAGTCTTACTAAAACATTTTTATCAAATTATCCTGAGTTTGATGTGTACAAGTTTCATTGACTCTGTCTGTTGTACTAAATGCCTTAACTTACATAATTCCTTATGGTGTGGCAATAAACTTCCTTTCTAATGGTCTGTCGTACCCTATACCTCAGTGAAATGAGTATTTCATTTCAAAACAATCTGTTAGTGTTCCCTAAACCACCTGGGGTTTTACTTATTTATTTTTTTCATTGCCATGCCATTAAGCCTGCATCTCTATAATCTGGAATAACCCCTATACCAATATAAATCATTTCTTCATCAAGAAGTCGCTGACTAGAGATACAGCATGATATTAGAGCAATGCTTTTCAAATTAGAGATCATAGCCCATTGATTTTAAACACCTATATAATGGATTGTAACCAACACTTTTTCCCCCCTTGAAACAAACTAGTATTAAATCTCTTATTTAAATTTCTAGTTTTTGATATTTTAAACATCTCTTCTTTATACATGTCTTTATACTTATTTCTTCCATAGGATAAATTACTAGAATAGGAAATAATAAACCTCAGAAATAGAGAATGCTTTTAAAGATTTTGGCACTTATTGTCAATTGTTCTTCAGAAAGTTTCTACTTCTATAGTTTCTCAGTGTTGTATAAAACTATATGTGTTATTGTACTGTTGCCATTAGTGTATATTATTATTCTTTTGTCAATTTAATGAGAAAAAAATGTGAATCATCATTTTTGTGCAGTACCGAAGCCAACATAGGACCCCACTTCCTCGTCTCACCTCCATTCACTTCTGTTGTGTTGATATTGCCTTTCTCCTTGCTCAGATAGTCCTAGAGTCTGTTGATTGGCATTATTAAGGTAATAGGCATCCCCAGTGATTGGTTTCTGCAATTTGGGAACATACTCATGATGTTTTATATTTGATTTTTTGTTTTTATGCTAAATCTTTGGCATATATTTACTTTTTGGTTATTTTCGGACTATCATAAAACATCATATTTTAAATCAATTTCTGGTCAATTTAGTTCTGGTTAATCCAGGTTTATTTTGTAGTATCATAAAAAGACAGTATGGCTGTTTTGAATTATAAAAAAGTACTCCTTTGAAAAAAAAAGAGTTTTGTACTATTTGTTAGTCTATTAGCAAAGCAGCATACTGTACTCTATATTTCAAAACTTTTAAAACCTGAAAACAAAATTTTAATTTATTTTTAAATACAGACCATGACTTAATTAGTGTTTTCTTTATGAAGAACTACTTAATATGGTACTGGTTTTTCAGATTCTCAATTCTAATTTCAGATTCTCAATCTAGGGTTGGTCTAGTTCCCTATTCTTAAATTAATTAGTTCAAATGTCCCGCAAACAGAATTGTTACAGAAGTTATTTTCTCTGTGTAATTTTTACAGTGAATTGAGTTTCAATATTGTTGAGAAAGGAACTAAATGAAAACTTATTAACTCCATAAATTTATTTCCCTAGATGTTAATTGGAAAGTCACAAAGCTCAACAGATGGAATTTCAGTGTTTAGTTGTTTTGCGAATTATTTTCATATTGTGATAAGTCTTGATTAAAAAATTTTGACTTATCTAGGAACCATTATTTTTTGATAATTGCTAATAATCACCTTATGATTTTATTTAGATTAATTTAAAGTTTGGAATGAGAAAACCAGAAGCTCGGACAGGAACTGAGACCGATACCTGTACAGCATGTGCAGGTACCTTGATCCTTGAGTTTGCTGCTTTAAGTCGATTCACAGGAGCAACAATATTTGAGGTTTGCTTTTCATAGTCTTTGTTCTCCTGGGTATTGGGCATAACTAATTTTATATCTTTTCCTCATTGGTCAACTATTAGGATTATCAATCAAAAGATTACTGTTATTTTATTGAACTTTTGTCTAAATTTTATCACAGTCTTTATCAGAAAATATAGAAGTCATAGTGAGATAAATATATTAAACACTATTTTCCAAATGAACACTAGTTGATTTATTGACTTCTCTCACAAAGATGTATTACATGCTATTTAAAAAGTGGATCTGATATGCCTGTTTGTTTCAAAGATGGTGTACGAACTTGTCTTCTCCAATTTTCTAAATGAGAGTACCTAAGGAGATTTTCACTTTGAATTTAAGTGACAGAAATTATTTTATCAAATGCATTTAATTATGCCAGAAATTAGTACATGTTAATAATACATGTGTGTGAATGTGAACTTGTACTACAAGAGTAAATGAACCTGGATGATTTCAAAGTGAGATCACTGCCACTAAATAGCATTTTTAGAACTATTCTTTTTAACTAAATTTGATTGGCTGAAAAAGAACCAACGTTTGGCTTGCAAAGAAATTTAACATATATTATTAATTGTTATCTTGGAATTTTAGTTAATCCTTAAAATATGCTATGGGCCTTTGATTTTTGTTTCTTTTTTTCCTGTTTTCCAGAGACATGAAGTTATTCAAGTATGCTTTTCCTCTTTTTAATTACAGGAATATGCTAGAAAAGCTCTTGATTTTCTCTGGGAAAAAAGACAGCGAAGTAGTAATTTAGTAGGTGTGACCATAAATATCCATACAGGAGATTGGGTGCGAAAAGGTATGTAAGTTGGCTTTTTTAAATCAAGCTTCTACATCAGTGATCCCCAATGTGGGGTACAACCCCACAGGGGAGCAATTTGGTTTTTAATGGGGACAATTCGAGAATGACTTATTAACAGTGGTTTTTTTTTTTGTTTGTTTTTTTTTGTTGCATTTCTTATAGTTCTAGGGGCCTCATACTAGTATACAGTATATAAATATATATTGTGACATATTTATGCATTTCAGTTCTCTATTATATGTTTTAAAACTTTATTTGCTATTTTTTTCATATCACTTTATTACTCTCTTTTTAACAATTTCTTAGTGATTTCTTCCTTAACACTTCAACTGTCCTTTTGTTCTTTATTTTTCTCTTTCATGGATGCCATGTTCTTTGGAAGCTTGTTTAGACCAAGTTAATAGCCTTTTACACTTCCTCCGTGTGAATAGAAGTTCACTTTTGAATAATAAGAATTATATGTCACAGAGGGGCATCAGGATTTTAGATATGCTTAGGTGGGGCATGGCCAATAAAAGGTTGGGAACCACTGCTCAATATCCTTAGAATGGTTGGGAAATAGAGGATTTTCATTTGTTAAAGTAATCTTTGGGACAGTATAAAGCAGTGTTTTTCACATGAATCCTGGAATTATCATTAATTAGACTAATTTTCTTCTTTGGTGTGCCAAATAATAGCATACTTATTATTATTTAAATAGGTGATTTAGTGTTTGATTTCATACCTTAATGGATTTAGCATTAACGATAGAGGGTGTAGTTGAAACAGTAGAACTAATTTGAGAACCTCAGCCTTCAGAATACCTTAGCCATCTCACATGAAAGTATAGTTAAGTGGAAATCTGTATTTAACAATGTTCTTAATAATTCTTACAAAATTAGTTTGAATTATGAGATAAAGCATATAACAATGTTATATGAGTAAACAGGATAGAGGATTATATATTTTTAATATGTAACAAGCACCCACAAATGGATCATCGATTACAAAAGCAATTTGCTTGACAACCTGTTACTTTTGCAGATGATCTTTGACTCTTCATACCTCTGCAATATATTTGGACTTATTTATACCATCTTTATTACTTCATTGTGTCCCACCTTTTCTGTTTATCTTTAATTTTTAATTGAACACTATAATTGCCTTCTAGTAAGACATGAACTTTAGTGTGCTCTCCTATCTCTTTGTCTCCCCCCAACTCCACTCCATAATCCCTCTTTATGTTATCATGCAGATAATGCATTCTTATTCATTATGAATGAGTACCTTTACTCTTTTTTCTTTGGTCTGACTCCCTCTTTCTTTAAAGATAAACTTTATTAAGATATTTGGTCACTTATATTACTTTGAGCTTTTTTTTTTTAATCCTCATCCCAGGATATTTTTTTCATTGACTTTTAGGGAGAGGGGGAAGAGAGAGGGAAAAGACAGAGAAACATCAGTGTGAGAAAAAAACATTGATTGGTTGTCTCCTGCATGAGCCCCGACCAGGCCCCAGGCTGAGAAGGAGCCTGCAAACAAGGTATGTGCCCTTGACCAGAATTGAGCTCCGGGCCCTTTGGTCCGCAGGCCTATGCTCGATCCACTGAGCCAAACCGGCGAGGGCTGGTCACTTGTACTTTGTATATTACTTGCAATTTCTCTTAGATTTGTTTCTATTTTTTTTTCCTGGTATTTATCCCAAACTATTTTCAGTAGCTTTAAATAACTTCTGAGGCCTCATATGCCTAACAGTAATTTTATTATGCTTTCACATTTGAGTGACAGTTGAACTAGATATAATTTTTTATTTAAGTTCTTTTCTTTCAAAGAAGACTTTCAAACTCTATTGCCTTCTTATATTCTGTTAACAATCTGATGATATTCTGATTTTTATGCCCTTGTATGTATGATCTATTCTTTCTCTCTGATAGAGGAAGAGTATCAAACCAAAGAGAAATTTCTAAAAATGTTATTATAATTTTAGATATAGAATTTTCTCATTTTGGTATTCTGTGGACTTTCTATTTAAAATTTTTGTTTTTAATTTATGAAAAATTGATGCTTATTTTTTAGATATTTTATCCTTTTCATTTTTACTTATCTCTTTTTGTAGTTCCTATTATCAAAATCACTTCTATTTGTATCCTTCATATATCTTAGCATATGTGTATGTATATTACATTTATCAGTTTTATGTCCCATCTATTACATTATTTTAACTGCTATATATTATTTTAAAGTGCCTAGTTTAAAAAAATACTTTTTTTTTTTTTATTGATTTCAGAGAGGAAGGGTGAGGGAGATAGAGATAGAAACATTAATGATAAGAGAGAATCATTGATTGGCTGCCTGCTGCATGTCCCCTACTGTGGATCGAGTCTGCAACTCGGGCATGTGAACTCACCGGGAATTGAACCATGACCTCCTGGTTCATAGGTCAATACTCAACCACTGAGCAATACTGACCGGGCAACTGTTAACATATTTTATTTCATATATTTCTGCTCAGTTAAAATTTTTTTGTTTTGTTAATATCTTTCCTATCACTTTTAAATGTTTATTAGGCTAATTTAAATTTTTGGTTTGTTCTACTTATTTTTCTGATATACTCTTTTTTTAAAAATATATATATTTTATTGATTTTTGTACAGAGAGGAGGGAGGGAGATACAGAGTTAGAAACATCGATGAGAGAGAGTCATCGATCAGCTGCCTCTTGCACACCCCCTACTGGGGATATGCCCGCAACCAAGATACATGCCCTTGACCGGAATTGAACCCGGGACCTTTCAGTCCCCAAGCCGACACTCTATCCATTGAGCCAAACCGGTTTCGGCATCTGATATACTCTTACTCTAGTATTCTCTTGTTCTTTTTAAAGTCATGCTTATTAAATGTTTTGGACCTATAAGTTCATATTTCCTTCTCCCCAACTTTGATGCAAGGTCAAATCCCAATTTCTATCTAGCTCAGAGGTATTAGGCTTGAATTCTAAGAAGTTTTTAAAAATACCGATGCCTGGAACTGTGGAGATTGTGATTCAATTGCCCTGGAGTGTGCCCTGGGTATAGAGATTTCCAAGATTGTAAATATAATTTAGATTTGTAATTCACTAGCCTTAGGAGTTTGGAGGGGAAAGGTGGGGAAGAGAATGTCTAAAGTTATTTCCTGCCTCATTTGTTCAGCTCCTCTGCAGGGCTTCTGTGCTGCCCTGGTTTTACCCCTGAGGATACCTGGAGCATAGATCTGCCTCGCAGCAGGTGTGGGAGGAGACAGTGTGTCTTAAGGCCATGGCAGGAGAAAAGCAAGAGTGAAGCTCCAACAGTGTCCTTCCTCTTTGATCTTCTGTAGCCAGGCCTGGCTGCCTCCACTCCAGGCCAAAGCCACCCCACCCCTCCCCAATCCCCACCCCTTGCCACCAGGTTTCATACTTTCCTTATTACTTTCTCTTTTTGAATCTCTATGAAATTCTTGGAGAAAGAAGCCAACCATCAGTACTAATTTTAGCAATTAGAATGGATACATCTAAATGGTAGCTTTATTTACGTACCTATAATAACTTTAAACATTGGTCTTCCTGATTAAGAATCTGATAAAAAAAAATACACAATTAGTGTGATTCCTCTTTGGAGTTCCTCTCTGAGAAAATGAACTTAAAATGTTCTTAAAACTAGTGTTTCCTGCTTTTCAGTAAGACTTTTGTAAACCATTTTGCAAAGTAGCATTTTTTAACATAAACTATGAACAAAAGAACAATTGTTCATATAATAGGGTTAATAGGGTAAGTGTGTAATATTTACTTTAAACAGTTTCATGTTTAGATTAATTTTTCATTGAGTGTACTAGTACCCTCACCTGTATTATATAAATAATTTTTTACTAGTTTAATAAAGAATTATATATGTGTTTTCTATAGATAGTGGAGTTGGAGCTGGCATTGATTCCTATTATGAATATCTGTTGAAAGCTTATGTCTTGCTTGGAGATGACAGTTTTCTGGAAAGATTTAATACAGTAAGTTGATTCAATTTTGTATTAAATTTAGAGCCAAGGTAATTTGAGTGCCAGATTTTGATAAAAACTCAATTATTTGAGTTATATTCTGAAAAATAATTATTTCTAAATGTGTTGTAGTACGTTTTTTGTCAGTATTCCCTGGTGATATTGGCCAGGTACAGGGTAAAAGCTTTACATTCAAAAATTAGTTTACAAAGTAGTTTTATTTTCATCTCTTATTAGATTTCAAGATCTGCCAGTAAGTATAATAATATCTAATATTTTATGCAAGGAAGAGATTTTATTGGAACAAATTACTTGTTAGTTTCGACCCCCTCCCCCCCCCTTTTTTTTTTTGAAATTTTGAAAGTTTGGCATAGTCTTTGGTCACACCAAGCATGCAGGTTTTTTGAAACTTAGAGAAATTAGTAAGTATTCATTTCAAAAGCAGGTCTGTAAGTCTCAAGTCTAGATCAGAGCCATGGGCATATTTTTAGGGGAGAAGGAGAGTATTATTGAACCTGATTGGATCACCTTTGTCTAGGTGAAGGAAACTGAAATTAGTACAGCAAACACATCAATGGTATCACTGTATTCTTTTTGAAATAATTTACCAGTTCTTTGCCCACCCATCAGTTTATTTACATTATTGTGAGACAGTATGATATAGTAGTTAAAAGTATGGCAGTTTTCCTACCTGGGTTTAAATCCTGATTGTACAACTGGTTTTGTGACTTTGTGAAAATAGCTTTACATTATCTCTGTTCCTTATCCACAAAATCTCAGCACTATCACTATTTATAGAGTTTGGGGTAGGATTAAATGAGTTGATGCATATGGTGTGATTAAATAGTAGATGAGTTATGAAAAAAAACCCACTGGTATTGTCCCAAATAAGTCCTCATTTGGATTATAACAACATTCTCTTGAGGTAAATGAGGACAGATAATTTTTTTTGCTCATTATCATTCATTGACTCTTAACAGTTCAAATTGCTGTTATAGCTGAGAAATGACTAGCAGAAGATAGAAGCCAAAGAGTTTTTAAGAGCCTAATAGACATAGACCGTAAGAGCTGCAACGGTGATTAATTAGATTCATTAATTTGGGTAGTGGTGGGCACTAGAATATTATTTTAGCTGAGAAGGGCCCAAACTTTTCTAGACACAGGAGAAAACAAAACTAATTCTATTAATCTAGAAGCCTGTAATTATATTTTAAGAGGATGTAAGAGCATCCTTGGGCCACAAGAGTACTCACCCTGGGCTAATCCCTCAGGATAGCCATGTTCAGACCTACTTCCTCAGAAGATCCCATATTGACTATAGTATTTAATGTTCTGCATCAGTGTTAAAGAACACAGGGGAATATATATTATACAATATATTTTAGAAAGATTCCCATCTAAAATAATTTTAAGTATTTACATAATGATGTCATACGTTTATTTATGAATCCAGGTTTAATTCCGTTACAGTACTATTTAATGAAGTGCTGTGTTTAGAATAGCTCATCTCTTTTCATCTCCTTTCCTGAACACATTGTGACCTTTTAGCACTATGATGCCATCATGCGGTACATCAGCCAGCCCCCTCTGCTACTCGATGTGCATATCCATAAGCCAATGCTGAATGCTCGGACTTGGATGGATGCTTTGCTTGCCTTTTTTCCAGGTCTGCAGGTAAAAAAAAAAAAAAAAAAAAAGCCCAGTGACTCTGATTGCCTATTATAAAAGTAAAATGATTATAACTAAGTGCATTTTTAATCTCTAAATTTGAATAACCAGACTCACATCTCAAAATTATATTAATCTACATTTTCCAGTTTATAAAAAGATTATAGATTTAAAAACCAACTCATGTTTTATTAGGCTGTTTTGTTGTTATGTTTATTTCTAGGTCTTAAAGGGAGATATTAGACCTGCTATTGAAACTCATGAAATGTTATATCAAGTGATTAAAAAACACAATTTTCTACCAGAGGTAAGCAAGTAATCTTTGGAATTCTAATTCACATATACTACACATTGCTAATTTAAAGGAAGAAAATGTCACCTTCAAGGTTGACTATTCTTTCCTGTTATATTTTCCTGGTTAAATAGTTTATTTAATTTCTTTTTACTCTATACAGTATTTTATATGTTTATGCCTCATGTGTTCAGAGAAGTCTAGTTTATAGTAATTCTGACATTTTATGTTAAAAAAAAAAATACTCGAAATTAGTAGTTTTCTACCTTTGCTAATCCATGACATTCCATATTATTACATTCTAACTTTTACACATACCCACCAGGGAAACCTTTTACTTTTTATTTTCTAAAGTTTATATTATAAAAATGATATACATTGAATATACTCTTGCTGATCACACATGCTCCCTGGAAATATGGGGAATCACAACTCTTCCTCATGCAGATTGACAGTTATTCTGCATGGCTTTTATACATTGTATCAGTAATATTCTTTTTTTTTTTTTTTTTTTAATTTTGTTATGGATTTTTTTTTACAGAGAGGAAGGGGAGGGATAGAGAGTTAGAAACATCAATGAGAGAGAAGCATCGATCAGCTGCCTCTTGCACACTCCTGGGGATGTGCCTGCAACCAAGGTACATGCCCTTGACTGGAATCGAACCTGGGACCCTTCAGTCACAGGGTGATGTTCTATCCACTGAGCTAGACCAGTTAGGGCAACAATATTCTTGCTAACTTCTTGTGGCAAGATTTTAATAACATACTTTTTGGCTTTCCTGAAATTTATTATTGAAAACTTCCAAATTAATCTATGGCCTTGTTCTGTCCCTGCTTATTCAGTGCCCTCTGTGAAATATCTAAGCATTCCTACAATTTAGAATGCTTTCTAAAGTTAGAAAGTGGAGTTTTATTAGCCTTCAGGTGAGTAGGACTGAGTACTGTATTGTAGAAAATTCATATTCACTCAGAATAAGCTAAGATTTCAACTAAATACATGCTATCACAAAAGAAATTTTACTTGGTTCTCATAAGGATTTTGTTTTCCTCTAAGTTAGTTGGCTCTGTTATTGAATACATTTCAAGTGAGACTAGTTTTATTTTAAAATAATATCTTTCTTATTCCATGGAGGACTTGAGGTTGTTATAAAAGAAAGCATATGCTAAAATAGAAATGTGAGAACTAGAGATTTAATAACTTATAATAACTTAATAAAAGAGAAAAAGTGGAAATACGGAAAAAGAAAAAAACACAATGTGATTCCACCAGGACCCATGTAGTGTCATTACTAGTTTCATAGTTTTTTTCTAAGCTTCCTCATAGCCAAAATTATAATTTTAAAAATAATTTCATTTAATTGGTAAAAATAGGAGCGTAGCAGAAACAAATTGTGATTTTAAGCAATGAAAAATTGCATTTTATAAATGAAAATTGTTATCAGTATTTCAATTCTTTTTACTTGCTTATGATCTAATTTATATATCTAAACCTACTTGTTTATTAATTTTTAATCATAATTTTTTTCTTGTCTATTTGAATTTTTTGTGTGCAGGCATTTACCACAGATTTTAGGGTACATTGGGCTCAACATCCTTTAAGACCAGAATTTGCAGAAAGTACCTACTTCTTGTATAAAGTAAGCTAATTTACCTTCCTTTTTGCTGTTTAACTCCCCCCCGCCCCTCCCCGTTGTATATCTTACTATCTTATAATAGTAATTTGGTTTTCAAAGACCTTTTAAAATATTATAGTGGTTGGATATATCATGATTCTTAATCACCTAGCTCATAGAGTTATTAAAAGATGCAAGACTCAACACCTAAGTTTTTTTATGCCTTTTAATGATATTAATATAAACATTTCTTTAAAAAGAAACTTATATTCTAGAGCTGCTTTCTAAAGCATATCTCTTGCTTTTTAATCAGGAAAACTTTGAGGGCATTAGAAAAAGGTTAAGATATACAATTGGATGGCTTTCCAATTGTGTATTTAATAATTCTGTAAAGCAGAGTCTATGGCTTATTTTCAGAGCGAGGTTCTGCGTAATGTGTGTTCCAGTGCCTGACACCTAGTAGGTGCTCAATAAATATGTGATGAATGTATGGTAATATATAAGCTACATACATGTGTATACATTCATCTATCTATTCTCCTTCTTAATAGGCTACAGGAGACCCTTACTACCTTGAAGTAGGGAAAACACTTATTGAAAACTTAAATAAATATGCTCGAGTGCCTTGTGGATTCGCTGCCATGAAGGATGTTCGCACTGGAAGTCACGAGGACAGGTAAAACAATTCCTAAAAATACGGCTACTAATTAGAATTCAGATACACTTTTGTTTTTACAAAGAGTATTTGAAGATGCAAACCTTACTTTGTTGTGTTTATTTTTAAAACTCTGGAATAAGCTCAGTTCTAATTGTTTGAAAAGTTCATATTTTTATCATAGTGCCTGACATATAGTGGATGCTCAAAGTATTTTTAAAAAGATGAATAAATGTTGTTAAATATCAGAACCTTGATATTAGGAGTATTAGGAATATTGAAGTTTTAGTTTCCTTTGTTAATAGTGTGGGTTTTTTAAATATTATATAAACTGTTAGAAATTATCAAGGTGATAATGATCTGGATTATTTTTCTTTAGACAAAAATTCAAAAAAACCCCACAGTATCATGGTTAATGTGTGTATTCTTATTGGTTGCTGATTTGGAGGGCTGGGAAAGACCATTGGCAGTTTCTACTCATTGTATACTTAGATAGATAGATGGCACAAAGTACTCTTTGGTTAATAAAAAGCATGCTTTGGTTAATGTGATATTCCCTGGCATTCCAGTTATTCCAAGCTCACTTATGTGTTTTTTGTTTAAAAAAAAAAAATATATATATATATATATATATATTTTTTTTTTAAAATATATTTTATTGCTTTTTTACAGAGAGGAAGAGAGAGAGAGAGAGAGAGAGAGAGAGAGAGAGAGAGAGAGAGTTAGAAATATTGATGAGAATTGTATGACCTAGGGCTGTCTCTTGCACACCCCCTACTGGGGATGTGCCCACAACCAAGGTACATGCTCTTGACCGGAATTGAACCTGGGACCTTTCAGTCTGCAGGCTGACGCTCTATCCACTGAGTCAAACCGGTTTTGGCTGTTTTTAAATACATTTTTATTGACTTTAGAAAAGAGAGCGAAACATCAATGATGAGATAATCATTTATTGGCCGCTCCTGCACGCCCCACCTTGGGGACTGAGCCTGTAACCCATGCATGTGCCTGGACTGGGAATGGAACCATGACCTCTTGGTTCATAGGTCGACACTCAACCAGTGAATCACACTGGCTGGGCTACACATCTCTGAAAGAATAGTAAAGCTTGTTTGCTCATTTGTTTAGCAAATACTCATTCCAGAAATATTTGTCAAGGTGTTTTATACACCAGTTATACTGGTTTTTGAGGATTAATGATATAGAAACATTTATTTCCTGTTATGAATCGCTGAGGACAGGCAGATAAACAGGCTTTAAAACATTGGGTAAGTGCTACAGAACATATTAAAGGGACATGAACTATAACTTGGGGTGTGATAATCGCTGAAAGGTTTCTGTGTCATGAGGATGAGCAAGAAGTAGAGAGAAGAGAATGATAGAAGGAGTTTCGGGCAAGGATACTGGAGGTAGATGAAACATAGCACTCAGCATCTACTCAGAGTTGTCCCTTAGTCCTTTACTCAGAGTATTTAGGTAATAGTTACTGGTAATTAGGTCTGGGACCTCCTTCCCTGAGCACAGCTGATGGATGAAGAATGGATAGGTTTCTGAAAGCAGACATATAGATAACAAATAGCAAGTAATGAAAGCAGATAGTCTATGTATTTATCTGTAGCATTTATTGACTGCTTCCTACATTCCAAGCACTCCTAAAAACTTTGGGTGTTTAACTCATTTGATGTTTACAACAACCTTTTGATGTATAATTTTTATTATAATCTTCATTTTATAGCTGAAGAAACGAAGGCACAGAAAAGTTAGGGAACTTGCCCTACGTTATACAATTAGTAAGCTTAAGTTAATTCTAATCAAGGCAGATTGGCTTTTTAATTACTTACTGCCTGCCAGGCACTGCATTTAAGCTTGAGGATGGAAAGATTTATTAGAATCAGTGAAGAAAGTACGTGTGTACAGAATTAATCACAACCATGTGATAGGTGCTATAGTAGATAGAGGTAGAGGAATTACAGAGAATTACATGGCATTGTTTCTGGACCTCTTATCACTGCCTTTAGTCTTTTTTTTTTTTGTACTCCAGTATATAAGTACCTATTAAAATATCATGCCCAGAATTAACCAAACTCACCAGGTGCCTGGCACAACAGCACTGTTACCGTCTGAATTCAGGCACGAGATTGCTCATTTTCTAAGGGGCTGAAGGGCTTACACTCCCTATGCAATTGAGGATCACTGCTTTATTGACTCATTCATGGCAGTATGTACCTCTCTGATGCATTGGCCTAACAAAAGGTTGGAAACTACTCATCTTAATGTTTTATTATTAGATGTGCTTTAGGGGTTTTGTTTGTTTGTTTGTTTGTTTTTAGCAACTTTATTATGTTCAACTCACCATGAACTTGTGGCTAGTTGACCTCAGATACTTAACTATGATCTGGTGTCAAATGGGTGTTCTCCACCCTGCTTTTGAGCAAATGACTTTTTTTTTTTATATATATAAACTTAAAACTTTATACTCATCTCAGCAAAAGTTTATATTTGTTGAAAGAGAGCTTGAATTTCATCTCAGTCATCTAATGTATTAGCTAATCTACCTGTTTAGATGAACATGCCTTAAAAATTTTGGGGGCAGACTGTAGGATAGGATCACCACTTCATGGCATGGCATTTGACAGCTTTCCGTTAACATGCTCCCTGCATTTGGCTGCCTCCTCCCTGCGTATCTTTCAGTATCCACACGTCCAGTTTTCCAAATGGAAAGTTCTATATTTTACTAATAGTAGATGATCACTGCAAAGAATTTAAGTGGCAAAAAAAAGGAAAAGAAAAAAGAAGAAAAGAAAATCTTTCCTAAGACACTTTCCCTACTTGCCCACCCTAAGATACCACTGTTGGCAATTTAATAAACAGCCTTCCAGACATTTTTAAAATTTTTTATTTATGGGTTTTTAAAGACAGGAAGGTCAGGGGGAGGGAGAGAGAGAGAGAGAAGGAGACAGAGAAACATGGATTTGTTGTTCCACTATTTATGCATTCATTGGTTGATTTTTGTATGTGCCCTGACCTGGGATAGAACCCATAACCTTGGCCTATAGTGACAATGCTCCAACCAACTGAGCTACCCACCAGGGCAAACATTTTAATGCCTGTGTGTGATGCATTTGTGTACATGTTTATTTTTCATATAGGTTAGATATATAAGATATCCAACTTGCTAGCTTTATCCAACTTATACCTAGTGATTTTACTATGTCTCTATTTTTTTCCAAGTATTTCAAATGTTTCTGTTGCGTAGACAGTTCTAGAATTTGTCAAAAATCAACATCCTGCTCATGAGTCTATAGTTCTCAAGCTAGCATTTGCTTGTGATAATAATTGTCAGTCCTCCAGAAAATATTAAATTATAACAGGTGTACTCAGGTTGACAGGGAACTATTTTATCTGTTCTATAAAGATTAATATCTAAAATGTACAAAAGGTTTTGACAGGTGACAGATGAGTTATTATTCCAAAGTAAAAAGTCATTTATAGGTAGGAAAAAGAATAATTGCTCTATTTCTGAGCTCATATTTATGCCAGGTGCTATGCTAAACAATGGACATAAAATCTCTTATTTAGTCTTTATACCAGTGTTAAGTGTTAATGATTGTTATGTTCTTTACAGAAGAACAAACTGAAGCTCACAGTCCTTGTATAATATCCCCATTGTTACACAGCTAGTCAGTGGGTGCTCTTTTCTGTTTCCAAAGCCCATGTTCTTGATCACTGTGTCCCTTGGCCTCTCCACTTCATTCGTTAATAATGCTGGAAAACTTGATTTCAGTTTATTAAATATTTATTGAGTGCATTCTGTGTACCAGGAATTGTGCTTGGCCAGAGGTATGAAACTATGCATTCTGTCCAGTATGCTACAAGTTACTTATTATTGTCAAATTAGATGCTTTGGGAGGTGGTAAATTGATTAATTTTCATGTTACTATAACTCCATTTAACAGCTATGCTCTTTTGCTCTTTTACTGCCACTTTTAATTTTATTACAACTTTTTAAAATTGCTTATTAAAACTTTACAACATTAACCAAAACCAGTTTGGCTCAGTGGATAGAGCGTCGGCCTGGGGACTGAAGGGTCCTGGGTTCAATTCCGGTCAAGGGTATGTTCTTTGGTTGCGGGCACATCCCCAGTAGGGGGTGTGCAAGAGGCAACTGATTGATGATTCTCTCTCATCAGTGTTTCTGACTCTCTATCCCTCTCTCTTCCTCTCTGTGAAAAATCAATAAAATATATATTTAAAAAAAAATTAAACATTACATTATATATTTTTAAGCATTTCTTTATTGATTAAGGGTATTCCATATTTGTCCTCAACCCCTCATTCCAGTCCCCCACATCTCCCCACTCATGCCCCCACCCCCCTATTGTCCTTGACCACTGGTTAGGCTCATATGTAGGCACATAAGTCCTTTGGTTGATCTCTCCCTTTTATCCCCACCCTCCCTTTGAGGTCCAACAGTCTGACCCATGGCTCCTTATCTCTGGGTCTGTTCTTGTTCATCAGTCTATATTGTTGACCATTTCCCCTAGATGAGTGAAATCATGTCTTACTGGAAATATAAGAATAAAAAATGAGACAAGCAATAATCGTTATGCTGAAAGGCATATGAATCAGTCTGTAGTGAGCTTCTGGGCCACCAGTTCTTTTGAGACCCAAAAAACATTACAACATTAAATAGTAAAGTCACATATGTCTATCCCCTTTATTTTTCATATTCTCTTCTTGACAGTTATGTAAATATTTACAAAGTTATACTCCATGGGATTTTGTGTTATAACTTTTTTCATGAAACTTTTTGTAAATGGTTCCTTTATCTTTAATGCCTTTTAAAATTATCACTTAAATGGATGCAGAGTAAACTCTATCAAAATTGTATTACCTTATCCCCTTCAATTAATATAAATTAAGGATTATATGTTTCTCGGCAGTAAAATTTACCTGCATTACCTCCTGACTGTTGGTTCTCTATAGAAGAAATGTATTACCCTCGCTCCTTGGAAGGCCAGTAGGAATGTTTTGTGTGCAATATTGGCAAGATCTAGTGTACCTGTGTGGTAGGCAGGCACACTGGTCTTTTCGTTTCTTTGGAAAATGCTTGGCGAGTCAATGCCATAACCACCAAGGGATAGATATAGTCTATAGTTCCTTGGACCTCTAAGTTAGCGTAATAGATCTGTTGACCTTGACTCTGACTTTCAGATAGTTGGTAATAATATATTTTTATATTCTTAGATCTATTTGTAACCTCTTATTTTAGAATGGATTCTTTCTTCTTGGCTGAAATGTTTAAATATCTTTACTTGCTATTTGCGGATAAAGAAGATATTATTTTTGACATAGAAGATTACATATTCACAACAGAAGCTCATCTGTTACCTCTCTGGCTCTCTACTACAAATCAAAGCATCTCTAAGAAGAGCACAGTAGGTTATGTTTTTTAATCAAATGTCTTACTCTCTTATTTACTTTCCTGTGTTTGTTTTGTTTTCTCCAAGTGAAAAGTAATCCATGACTAGAATTCAGTAAATGTAGTATGGGAGGAGGAAAAGTACACTTGATGTTTTCTTATTTTGTTTTGTTTTATGACATCCTATATACTTACATTTATTTAAATTTTTCTTTGAACAAACTATAATGCTAAATTAAAAAATACTTTTATTTACTTAACATTCTTTTACATTGTAGAATTCAGAATATATAGAACTGGATGACAGTAATTTTGATTGGACTTGTCCAAATACTCAGATTCTCTTCCCTAATGATCCATTGTATGCTCAGAGCATTCGTGAACCCTTGAAAAATGTGGTGGATAAGAGCTGTCCTAGAGGCGTCATCAGAGTGTAAGATATCTTATTTTATATTTGTTAATATCAGATTTATTCTCAGTAAAGGAAAGAGAACATAAGGGACATATAACAGTAGACATTCACATAGACCAAAAATATTGCGGCATGTAATTATTGCTGATTAAAATAAAATAAAAATTATTAGTGAAGTTAGATAGCAAATTTTATTCTGTGATGTCTTATGGAAAGTTTCTATTTAACTTTTGTTTAATGAACTGAATAATAGTAGTCAATGGGCAGTTTTCAACTTGTGTAGCTCATTTATGGAATAGTTTCATTAAATATTTCCATACGTCTTATATATGTAGAAAGTATTTTTCCTTTTGCCTGCAGTGTGTGAGTGCAAATATGTTTTATCTTTTGATATACTTATTCTTGGTTGTTAAATTTTTGCCTTAATGAGTTCATTTTCTTATAAGTACTTAGAAAGGCCATTACTAGGAAATAAAAAATTTAAGTGAATGTTATAATTCATTGATATTATTGTTTTGCTTTTAAAATGCAGAAATCTGTTTTTTGATAAAGAAATCAGTAGTAATAAATCTCAACCCAACCTATTCTGTATTTTCAAATGGTTATAATTTTGTTGACTAATACTACCTTATTGATAATATACATGATTTTATAACTGTAAAATATTATTTGAAAGCTATAGTAACCTAAGTTATATGGAGGAAAATGCCTATTCCTAATTACTCCATTTTCACTAGCTCTAAAACTAGCAGTTTTGCAAATATCTAACATTATTTCTATTTGCTTTATGTTTTTCTCTCGTTCTGACTTGTAGTTTTTAAAACCTTGCTTATAATTACTTTTAGCAGAGAGGAGAGTTTCAGGAGTGGATCTAAACCCCCGCTGAGAGCCAGAGATTTCATGGCCACTAACCCTGAGCACTTAGAAATCTTGAAGAAGATGGGGGTGAGTTTGATTCACCTCAAAGATGGGAGAGTCCAGTTGGTTCAACATGCAATCCAAGTAAGACATTGCTATATTAATTAGATGCAACTCTGCTCTTTTTGGTCTCATAAGCTTTCATAAGATGATGACATTGGGCTTTTTAAAAACTTCTAATGTATGGTTTAAAGTTAGAGAGTCAAAATTTAAAGATTTGAAAATATGTTGGTAAGCCATCTAATTCAACCCTTCATAATATAGATCAATAAAATCATGAATAGCCTGGCCATTTTGCTTAAGGTAATAGGACCGAATTTTAAGTTTTCTGTTTCTCAGTCCCTTGTCTTTCCACTGTTTTTATTTAGAGCATAATCTTAAATGGTAATAATTTAGTTTTAATATTTATATTTTACATTATTTTATTTTCCAAAGAGCTACAGAATCGAAAGTATTTTATTCACTGTAGAAATCAAAATTTGCATTTATCTATCTACTCGTAGAAAACATAACATGTCTTTTGGGGAAATTTTTATTGATTGTTGCTTTAAAAGTTTTTATAACATGAGGTCTTTAAATTATTTCAACCTAGACTCATAATCTAAATCTCAAATTTAAACTTCCTACCACCTTACCTCCCTCTCAGATTTCTATTTCATTTCTGTACTTTCCACATCCATTCTTCCTTACAGAATATTCTGCCTGCTTTCTTATGTTTCATTACCCTCACTCCTCAGTAGTAGGAGGGGCATCTCCAATCGCATTGCTAACATAATTGGCACTCAGTGGCGGCCTAATCCTCATGTGATTGAATTTTTCTCTTAATAGTTGACTGCCCCCTTTTTAAAGTATTTTTAAAATTGACTTTTAGAGAGAGAGCAAGAGAGAGAAACATCAATGTGAGAGCAAGACATTGATTCACTGTCTCCTGCACGACCCCCACCAGGGGACTGAACCCACAATGCGAGCATGTGTCCTGACTGGGAATTGAACTGGCAACCTTTTGGTACATAGACGAAGGCCAACCAACTGAGCCACGCTAGCCAGGGTTTGACAGCCCTATTTTTAAATATATTTTTGTTGATTTCAGAGAGGAAGGGAAAAGAAAAGAGAGAGTGAGAAACATCAATGAGAGAGAATCATTGATTGGCTGCCTCCTGCGTGCCCCACACTGGGGATCAAACCCGCAACCCAGGCATGTGTCCTGACTGGGAATTGAACTGTGACCTCCTGGTTCATAGGTCGACTGATCGGGCATGGCTCTGTTTTTAAAATGTATCCTTTTCTTGGCTTCTACTTCCCTATTCATGCCTTTAGAGCTTTCTTTTTTGGCAGAATCACTCGGTGTAAGCACTACCAAAGGATCTGGTTCACTCCTTCTTCTCTACTTCTTCAGCAGTCTCATCTGTTTCTACAAGCTCAGTTATCATCTTTGTACACTTGATTTCTTATCTATACATATGTAACCCCGATTCCTAACTTTACTCTTAAACCCAGCTTTGATATACCTGTCATACATTTCTACATCTCAGCCTCAATCTTTGCAAGTCTGAATTCTTTTCCCGCCTCCTCCTTATTCCAGCTCTCCATCTCAGTAAACCATGTTGTCATTCTCGAAGTCATCAAAATGAAGCCACCATAATTTCAGGATAGGCTTGAATTTCTATCTCTGAAATCCTCTCTGTCCTCTATTCTCTTCACTCCCATCAAGTCCCGTTGACTTTTCCTGTAAAGGTTCAGGATTCCATCTTTTTCTACGATTGTGAGGTATTCTTCAGTTTTTCCTCTCTAAAGACTCAATTCAGATGCCACTCTATTTTCCAGATCCACACTGGCAGAATTGTCATTTCCCTGTCCACATTCCCACTTGAAAAATGTAATTATAGCTAATTTCACACGTCTCTCTCCTCTAGATACAAACTTCTTAAAGTAAAAAGTCTGTCTCCTCAGTATCTAGTCAAGTGCTGGAATATAATAGTTGCCTGATAAATATGTTTTGAAATTAATCTGATTGTTGGTTCATAATTTCAAAGAAAGGAAGTATGGATCAGGTATGGTGTTTGTTTTTTAAAAGGGGAAACAGTGGAGAAAACAAGCTAAATGAGCATTTGATCATTGGGTGGAAGTCTTAATTCTCAACTTATATCAAAAATGGTTTATAGGACAGTGAAGGAGCTATTGGTAAAAACTACAGATATAAAAACTATTACAGTAATTTTCAGAAGTATTTTTTTTTTTTTAAAGAAAAATCAGGCTATACATATTTGGTAGGGACCGAAACTGAAAGGAGAAAATTTAGAGTGGAAAACCAGCACAACAGTAATAAAGTTCAATATTTAAAAAGAAAAGAAAGTTAAATGTTTCCAGAAGGAATAAAATATCTGTTTCTTTCCTAGGCTGCTAGTTCAATTGATGCTGAAGATGGGTTGAGGTTTATGCAGGAGATGATTGAATTGTCAAGTCAGCAACAGAAAGAACAGCAGCTACCGCCCCGAGCTGTACAAATTGTTTCCCACCCATTTTTTGGCAGGGTAGTATTGACTGCTGGACCAGCTCAGTTTGGGCTAGATCTGTCTAAACATAAAGAGGTGTGTACGTTTACCATGTGCTTGCTGAAACTGATTTAAAAATACTGTTTAAGTATGATAATAAATTTCTTAGTTTCTATTTAGGTTTAGTCTATTTTCTAATTTAAAAATGACCTATTTTTAAATATTGATTTAAAAAACCTAAATATTCACTTTCCCAGAATAAAAGTTAAAAGTCTATCTTGTAAATGTTGAGTCATAATGTACATCTATAATATGTTTATAAAATTTTACTTAGTTATTGGTCGTTTACTGTCCAATTTTTGGTCTCTCAATTAGTACCTTTATTTTAAAATATTTTCAGACTTGGTTTCATTAATCCTCACCTGAGGATATTTTTCAACTGATTTTTAGGGAGAATGGAAGAGAGGGAAAGACAAGAGAGAAACATTGATGTGAGAGAAACATATCAATTGGTTGCCTCCTCTATGAGCCCCGAACAGGGCCTGGGTGAAGTCTGCAACCAAGGTACGTGCCCTTGACCGGAATCGAACCCGGAACTCTTCAGTCCACAGCTGACTCTCTATCCACTGAGCCAAACCGGATTCTGCTCTTAGTTTTGACATAGGAAACAAAGACCTACACAGTTGAACAGTTCACAAGTTCATCATATTAATTGGTGGCAGAGCTGGAACCAGAACCCAAGTATCCTGATAATCTAATAACAATGCTCTTTAAACTCTGTTACCCCTAATTTAGTCTAAATGTAGTATGTATTGGAAAGCTTTTCAGTTTTATAGGTTGACTCATCTATTCAGCAACTCTTTTATTGAGTCCCTACAGTATCTGGGCACTGTTTTAGGTGTTTACAACCTATCAAGTTTACAAAACCAGTGAAAACTTACCCCCTCCCTGTGTAGTTTACGTTCTAGAGTAGCAATTTTCAACTGGTGTGCTGCAAGAATTTTTAAAACATGCAGTATCTGACTATTTAGTCAGGAGTACTGACCTCTTTTCCCTTAGATTGTCAAATTAAAAAATGACAACACACAAAACCGATTTGGCTTAGCGTCGGCCTGAGGACTGAAAGGTTCGATTCCTGTCGGAGGCATGTGCCTTGGTTGCAGGCACATCCCCAGTGGGGAGTGTGCAAGAGGCAGCTGATCGGTGATTCTCTCTTATTGATGTCTCTAACTCTCTATCCCTCTCTTTTCCTCTCTGTAAAAAAATCAATAAAATATATTTTAAAAATGACAACAGCAACACAATAATAGCTGTTCAGTGTGAATGAATCAAAATTATACTTATTTCTTCTCAGATTGGCAAGTTGGTTTTTTTTGTGTGTGTGTATGTGTGTGTTTGTGTGTGTGTGTGGGGGGGGACGCGCCACAGAATTTTAGTAATTTATGCGATGGCATGAAAAAGGTTGAAAATTGATGTTCTAGGGAAATATTAAAACATCTTTATACTAATATCTTTAAGAAAGTTTTTTGGTTCATTTAATTTTTCTAGAAAGAACTACTTGCGGATTCATGTGGACTAAGTCTATTTTTTTTTTCTCTTTTAGAGAATTTTTCTTGTTAACCTATGATTGTTTTTTAGTGGTTCCCCGCTGCTGAGATGTGTGTGTCGTAAATCTGACTACCAAGCTCCAACTTTACTACTTATTAACATTGTGACTTAGAGCAAATTACATAACATCTCAGTTTCCTTATGTATAAAATGAATTATTATCTGCATTATATCATTCAAGGCTGTTATAAAGACCAGGTTTATTAAGTTATGTAAAAATGCTTTTTAAACTGCAAAGCAAAATAGAAATATTGGTTGTGTACTATGACATGCAAAATGTTCAAAACAAAACTTACTTCAAATATTTATACTGGATGTGTTATCATTAGTAAAGAAATCAGGTATACCTAAAGCTTTATTTTATATATCGAATTTTATTTAAGGGCTAGATAGTGATTTGAGAAGATAAAAGAATATTGAAGTCACTTTTATTTCTGACAGACAAGAGGATTTGTTGCAAGCAGTAAACCATACAATGGTTGTTCAGAGCTTACTAACCCTGAGGCAGTGATGGGAAAAATTGCTTTGCTACAAAGAGGACAGTGCATGTTTGCAGAAAAGGCACGCAATATCCAGAACGCTGGAGCCATCGGTGGCATTGTCATTGGTAAGTCATCTCTGCAACAAGCATCATTCTGTTGACTAGAAAGAGGTAATTTTTGGGATTTTTTTCCCTTTGTTTTCCAAAATTATATAAAAATGTTTGTTGTGTTTTTATTTCACTGGATAGCATAATGAATAGGTAATCCAATGGCTCTCTTAATAACTTCTGTAGGTCTCTTTTGTTTTTTAAAAGTGTAGAGATGGGTTTCTGTATATTAATGCCAGTAAAAGTACTTGCCGACAGGTGTGAAGATGGGGAGAGAGAGAGGTAAAATCACCAAACACCATGAATAAGAAAATGTGCCCACAAGAGCCAAAGCCCTGTGAGGGCAAGACTTCCACCCTGCCACTTCCCAGGAGCCATTGAAAATACCCATTCTGCCTCCAGCATTCAGGCTTTGGAATCACACATGGCGGCGCCCTTCTTGGCTCTGCCACAAATCCATGGTGTAATGTTGGCCCAGCTTTAGTTTATCTGTTTACTCAGTAGAATTTTTTTTTAAATATATTTTTATTGACTTTTTACAGAGAGGAAGGGAGAGGGATAGAGAGCTAGAAACATCGATGAGAGAGAAACATCAATCAGCTGCCTCTTGCACACCCCCTACTGAGGATGTGCCCGTAGCCAAGGTATATGCCCTTGACCGGAATCGAACCTGGGACTTTTCAGTCTGCAGGCCGACGCTCTACCACTAAGCCAAACCGGTTTCAGCAATATATATAAAATTTCTTAGCATAATAGCTGGCATATCATAGGTATAAGCATTAGTTGCTAGTAAATTTTTATCTCCTTAGGTCTTTCCCCTCTGAAATTACAAACTTTAAATAATTTCACTCATGCATTTCAACCAGTGTGCTTTGATTTTTTATTTTTTTGTAGCAGGCCATGACCACCAGGGAAAGTATATAATTTTCTATGCTTCAAGTAGGAAGGAATTTACATTTAGAAAGAACTAAAAGACCTGAGGTCACATCCTAATTGCACAGTTCTTCTGCATAGTTTCTCTCATGGGGAAAATCCGTTTTGAATTTTTTCTTTCTAATTAGAAAAGATTTCCTTTTTGAATTTAGGATAAATAAAAGGCATTTAAAATATTAGGATTTATTTCAATGAAAAAGTATTCTTTTTTTTTTTTTCAATCATTATTCAGATTATTACAATTGTTCTCCCCCCCCCCCATAGTTCCCCTCCATCTAGTTCCCACCCTACCCTCTGCCCTTACCCCCCCCCCCCCCACACACACACACACTGTCCTCATCCATAGGTGTACGATTTTTGTCCATTCTCTTCCCACACCCCCCACATCCCTTTCCCCCCGATAATTGTCAGTTCACTCCCTTTCTACGCCCCTGATTCTATTATATTCATCAGTTTATTCTGTTCATCAGATTTTTTTATTCACTTGATTTTTAGATTCACTTGTTGATAGTCTTGTATTTGTTGTTTACAATTTTTATTTTGAGCTTTTTCTTCTTTTTCCTCTTCTTCAAAGAATACCTTTTCAGCATTTCATATAATACTGGTTTGGTGGTGATAAACTCCTTTAGCTTTTTCTTATCTATGAAGCTCTTTATCTGCCCTTCAATTCTGAATGATAACTTTACAGTCATAATTATTCTTAGTGACTAGTATATAAGAAAGAACTACGAATTTATAATTTTGTAAAGGAAGATTATGCCATTAGAGGAATTCTAAAGCACAATAAAATTTTATTTATAGTTCTATCTTTGTCATCCAACCAGGTCTTTGAATTTTTCCATTACTAGGCTTTTTCATAAGCATATAAAATTTTTATTGTCTTAATCATAGACTTTTATATTACACTCTTTTCTTATAATATTTTGTTTTTCTAAGTGTTCCATTAAGTAGTTCACTATAATTTATAATAGTTTAGAGTTCACAATTATAGTTAGCAAGCAGATCAATAAACTTCTTTGGGCATAGATCATTTTGCTTCTTTTGAATTATTTCCCAGGATAGAACTGATGGGTCCAAAAAGTATGTTTATTGTTTTTATGGTTCTTGGTGCATAAAATCATTGTGACCAATAGGTACAAAACAGTAGCATTTGCTAGATGAACCTTTTTGATTGATAAATTTGTGTTTGTGTCTAGATGACAATGAGGGAAGCAGCAGTGATACTGCCCCTCTGTTCCAGATGGCAGGTGACGGAAAGGACACAGATGACATCAAGATCCCTATGCTATTCCTATTCAGTAAAGAAGGAAGTATCATATTGGATGCTATCCGGGAATACGAGGAGGTGGAAGTGCTTCTTTCTGACAAAGCAAAAGACCGAGGTAAGGATAAAATCATTTGTTTTAATGCAGCTCAGCACTAATTTTACTGGCTTCATAACAAAAGAGTGACAAAAATTTATTTCTGGATTACTGGTAAAATAAGTACAATTTTTAAAAGATTTCCAAATATATTTTTAATTTGGAAATAAGAGTAGTAAAACATTTATTTGGCTTTGTTTGCCAAGTTAAGATGTTTTTAGAATTGAATATGTAATTTGTAATTTCTGCTTTGATTCTGCCCAGTGATGATAATAGAAGAGGTTACATCCAGAGTCATTTTAATATCCACAGATGTTCACCATTCAATTTCTGTGATATTGCATCTTATATTTCTTTTATAAGGAGTACAAAGAGATTGTGTAGAATGGTGTTGTATACAACATAATAGTAATTGGGGTTTCACCAGGCCACCTATAATCAAATGACCACAATTGTAGTGAAATCGGTAGAAATCCAGCAGCTCCTCTCCACCGAGATCTGTTTATAGGTTACAAGAATTGCAAATGGTGATGTCTGAAGAACAAGACATTCCCATATGCCTTATTACTTCATGAGAGTTTCTCTTCCTCTCTAGGCCAAAAATGTTTGTGAGTAATTTGAAAGATCTTTGAAACCCAAATTACTGTATAAGTGCAATGTCTTACTATTATTGTTTTATAGTTTCACACCCAGGAATAGGGGGGAAATGAGGGAAAGTGAATCATCCAACATAGACTGTGATCTTGTTTTGGTAGCAGTTTTTCTTATCCACCAGAGACATTAGAGAGAGAGCTACACTCCTCCCATCCCTCTTAAATGGGTAAAGTTGTATAGTTTCTATAGGGTTGTTGAATCCCCTAGGATGTTTGTTTGATATATATATATATATATATATATATATATATATATATATATGCATGCTGGTTTAATTAACTTCGAAGTAGAGCAATAAAAAAAAAAGTTTAGCAATAATCTAATGCTAGCCAAATTAGTGTTCTGTCTTGTCCTTTTGTGTTTCTTTATTCTTCTCTGAGGTTCTTTCATATATCTGCTATTTAAGAGCAGTGGAGTATCTTGTATGTAAGGATATAATAGATGGAAACAGAGCAGAATAGAAAGGATTTCTAATCTTCTATGATTCTCCTATTACCTGATGTTTTTATGAGACCTTTTTCTAAACTCAGATCTTTCTTCCTGCATTTATGCATTTAGGCACATCAAACAGGCAAATTATTACTCCATGTAACTCTTTAATACCTTTGCTTTTTCCCCCTATTTTTTTGCTACCATTGGAATTTCAGCAGCAATTTTAAAAGGTAAAATAATTCCAAGCTACATTATTAATAGTAGTAAGTATCTTCATTTAATAGGCCTCAAATTATCTATATATGTGTGTGTGTATGTATATATACACATACATATATATGTGCATATACATGTAAATATATATATAAATTTGGTTCAGTGGATATCACAATAGCATCTGATTAGATTGATGTAATTAGATTATTTCATGTATAGTCAGCTGTCCCATATAATTCTTTATTGATCCTGTTATAACAAATTCTGTAAATTAAATATCCCATGGATTAAGAATTCACTAGTTTGTGTCTGTGCAAGAGTCACTAACAAAGACACTGTTGTTTTGGATGTGTTACTTTTGAACAATTTTTATTTGAATATAGTAAAAACTCTTTAAAACACATATGTTTGTCAGGGTGCATGTGCTTCCCATGACAGAGAACAGGATCTACAAAAGATAAATTCTACTACTACCAAAAAAATGTACCTGAACAGTATTCCCTTAAGAACCTTGCAGTAAAGGAGCTTTATTTAAACTATACTGTAGTATATATTTTAAAATTTTGATAGTCTGTACATTTATTGAACTGTGATTTACAGAATAGAATGACCTTTTGCCCAAAAGTCTTAAGAAAACTCCTCTTGTGTAGCTCTTTCAAGAACTGTACAGCTAAATCAACAGCAAGTTGCAGTATAATTGTTAATACTTACAATGTAAAAAAATCAGCGATAATCTTTGAAATCAACTACTTTATTAGGGAAACACCCTAAGAAGTTAATGTTGGTAGTGGTTATTGTTCATTTGTCCTGGGTCATTACTGCATACGTCATGCTTGTCTTCCACATCAGAATCAGCCACTGTATTGTTAAAAGTGCAGACACCTGAGTTCTACAGAATCAGACTCTCTGAAGGCCGAGGATAAGAATCTGAAATTTTAAATAAGCATCCCAGGTAGTTGTACACTTGAGAAACACTGAGCATGACCAAGAAGGTGTCCCTTTTTATTTCCCAGCTATGTATCTGGACATACTCCACCATCAAGGGATTATGTCAGAATAATAGCATCCTTAAAATCTGAGCAATAAAATGACCTTCAGATTGCTCTTTCTAAAAATCTCACTCCACAAATACGTATTTCCCTTATAAAGTCACATAGTTTTGATGAAGCAGTTCTTCCCACATATTAATACAGAAATAGAAGCCCCAGAACAAGCCTCCACTCCCACCCTCACCTTCTGATTCAGATGATAAGGCCCAGCCATTAATATAGAACTATCTACAATAGTCCTATCTGCTAATAAGAATGTTCAGATACCTTACTACAGGATTCCCTCTCATCTGCAGTTTTGTTTTCCATGGTTTCACTTACCCCTAGTCAACCACTATCCAAAAATACTAAATGGGAAACTTCAGAGGTAAACAGCTTTTAAGTTTTAAATTGCCTGCTGCTCTGAATGTGAATCACTTAGCATATTGATGCTGTGTACACTCCCTGCCCTTTAGTCACTTAGTAGTCAGGTCAACGAGAAACACATTCACATAACTTTTATTACAGTATATTGTTATAACTGTTCTATACTTTTATTAGTTATTGTTGTTAATCTCTAGTAAACTTTTTCATAGATATGTATGTATAGGAAGAAAACACAGTACATACAGGTTTTGGCACTCTGGGTGGTTTCAGGCACCCACCAGGGGTCTTGTGATGTATCCCCTGTAAATAAGAACTACTGTACACAGAAGTAAAGACTTAGTAATTTATCAAGGGGGAATGTTGTATCCACAGAAGTTTTAATACTGTGTCTCTTAGGTGTCCCGTCTTTCCAAAATGTGAAGTCTATTAATGCTAATTCTAATCCCTTGCCCACAAACAAAAGACACCGTGTTTCTAGCCTTTAGCTCCAAGTTGAAATAGTTTACAATTAAGAATCAGTTTCCTTTTGTCAAGGGAAAAAAGAGACCTGTATTTCAGTACATTATTATTATTTTTTTAAATATATTTTATTGATTTTTTTACAGAGAGGAAGGGAGAGAGATAGAGAGCTAGAAACTTCGATGAGAGAGAAACATCCACCAGCTGCCTCCTGCACACCCCCTACTGGGGATGTGCCCACAACCAATGTACATGCCCTTGACCGGAATCGAACCTGGGACCTTGCAGTCCGCAGACTGACGCTCTACCACTGAGCCAAACCGGTTTCGGCAATTTCAGTTCATTATTATGTTTGCAGTTTGCAGGTAGGCCCACAGAGCCTTGACATGTCAGGGCTATTCCTTTATTTGTGTCTGTCTGAGAAAGAGGCAGGCAGAGAAAATGGAGAAAGAAAAGAAAGGTCCCTGCTTTGAACTGGCAATGCTAGCAACTTTTCCTAAGCCTTTCCCACTGAAGTTGATCGGGTTAAACATGTTCTGAGGTTGGACTGTAGAAGCTGGGTTGCTGTGGGAAAGGAGTTGATTCTGAGGAGAAAAATCTAGTCTGAATGCAGATGGTCTTATTGCAGGAAAGTAGCACTGGAACCATTCCTGTTGGTGGAATTGGTAGGTACCTACCCTCTTCGTCCATCCATGACATTTTTCTCATGCGTTTTTAAATTTGCAAAGTCACTTCCCTCTTTCTAGAAATGCCTCTTAATCCCTAAAAGCCCTTGGTCTTTTTTCTCTTTGAGAACATTTAAGCCATGCGAAATACCCATTTTGAATGGCATCTTCTTTATGAAATTTTCTTATTCTCACGGTAAAATTGGAGGGCATCTTTTTAATATAGCTCCACGTTGACATTTATATCACATTGTGCTGCTTCACCTACTCTTCATCTCTGTAATCCTTGCTTTCAGTAAAGATTGAAAGCTGGTTGTGAAGATGAAGGAACAACTGTAGGACATCCAGTCTTTGAGTCTCTCCCCAAAGTTCCCTTGTCCTTTCATTATTAAAACTTAGTAATTGAGGCAGGGGCCTCCATTGGTTGAACTATTATCCCATATACCACAAGGTATCCAGTTTTATCTCCCATCAGGATGGGGATGAGAGACAACAGATTGGTGTTTCTCACATTGATGTTTCTCTTGCTCTCTTTTCTTCTATCTCTAAAAAAAATTAATAACATATCCTTGGGTGAGGATTAAAAACATCTAATCATTCTTTTTTTGCTTCTGTTTCTGATATACCATTCCTAAACTCACATATAAATGGGAAAATTCTGTTAAGACTTTCTATCCAGGAACTTAGCCTTACTTATAAATTTATTCAGGTCTTCTTTTATATTTTCATTAAGATTTTATAGTGGTAAGCAATATGGGTCATGTATCTTTCATAATAAATTCAGTTCTATATTTTGTAGCTTTTATTTTTATTATGAAAAGTGTTCTTAACTTTAATTCTAATGACTATTGCTACTATAGAAGGATTATCGGTATATATGTTTTATTTTTACCTTATCAAATTGTGTTAATAGTATTTTAAAAATTAAGAGTTGCTTTGAGTTTAAGTATACAACACAATCTAAAAACAGTTTGACGTTTCCTTTTCCTATATTTGCAATGACTATTCTGCTATCCTGTTGTGTTAGCTAGATTTCTAAGATAATGTTGTATAGTAGGTAATCTAGGTTAATTGTTTTGTCTTACCTAAGTAAAGACATGGTACTTCCCCTGTCCCTTTCCTTCTTCACTAGACTATTGCCAATGGAAACAAACCTGAAGGTTTATTATTGTTCTCCCTAGCATCATGAGTCTCGGCAGCCCTGCTTCCTCTTCCTTGGGCACCCCAAATTTCCCCTATTGTCTCAGTTAAAATGCATCCTTTTCACAGCTTAGAAGAGAAAGAAGGCTTGGGCCCTCCTCCTTTCTCCCTCGACCTCCCCCTGTCTCCCCTTTCCTTGCCACCACCAGCATATACACCCTGAGAATGTAAACTTCCCTAGTCAGGTAATCCTACCTAATCAATTGGTGTATATGTGCCACCCACCTATACCTGCCTGCATGCCTGTATTTCCTTCAATTTTTTTGGTTTTAGAATTGGCCCATCTTCCCTCCCTTCTTTGACTAATTCCACTCATTTTATAAATCTCAGCTCAAATGTCACTTTAAAAATAAAATTACCTTTCAAGTGTCACTTTTTGAAGGAAACATTCAAATCTCCTTCCCCCGCCCCCCCCTTTTTTTTTTTTAGAAATTCAATCTGTATTGTTGAAAGTATTACATATGTCCCCCTTCTTTCTCCATTGACCCCCTCTAGCCTGTCCCCACCATGTACCATCCCAGGCCATCACACCCTGTTGTCTGTGTCCATGGGTTATGCATATATGCATACAAGTTTTTTTGATTTCTTTACACCCACTCTTCTCCACTTTTCCTCTGAGGTTCTAAAGTCTGTCCTATGCTTCTCTATCTCCAAATCTATTTTGTTCATTAGATTACACATATGAGTGAGATCATGTGATACTTGTCTTTCTCAGACTGGCTTATTTTGCTTAGCATAATACTCTGCAGGTCCCTTGATGCTACCTCAAAGGGTAAGAGAGCCTTCTTTTTTACAGATGCATCGTATTTCATGTTGTAAATGTACCATAGCCCCTTTTTATGCACTTATCTATTGATGGGCACTGGGCTGTGTCCAGATCTTAACTATTGTACATTGTGCTACTTTGAACATAGGGGTGCATACATTCTGATTGATGTTTCGGGTTTCTTAGGATATATTCCTAGAAGTGGGATCACTGAGTCAAATGGCAGTTCCATATTTAATTTTTTGAGGAAACTCCATACTGGTTTCCATAATGGCTGCACCATTCTGCATTCCAACCAGCAGTGTGCTAGGGTTCCCTTTTCTCCACATCCTTGCCAAAACATGCCATTTGTTGATGATAGCCATTCTGACAGATGTGAGGGGTGATACTTCATTATCATTTTAATTTGCATCTCTCTGATGATCAGTGACTTTGAGCATTTTTTCAGATGTCTCTTATCTGTATGCCCGTTTGGAAAAGTGTCTCTTATCTGTATGCCCGTTTGGAAAAGTGGCTATTGAGGTCCTTCGCCCATTTTTTAATTGGATTGTTTGTCTTCCTGTTGTATGAGTTCCTTCTATATTTTAGAAATTAACCCTTTAGCAGCTGTATTATTGCCAAATCTGTTCTTCTGTACAGAAGTTTATTTTTATGTAGTTTTATTTTTTTATTTTCTTAGTTTCCTTTGCCCTAGGTCCACAGTGGTTTGCCGACCACTGACCTAGACACTCGATTCCAATAATTACAGGCTGTTGTTTCTTGTGATTAAGCCCCTATCCCAGTTGGCAAACTCATTAGTCAACAGAGTGCCAAACCGCGGCTCAAGAGCCGCTGGTGGCTCACGAGACGCAGTTTGCCGACCACTGCCCTAGGAGATGTATCTGTAAACCTATTGCTACAAGAAATACCAGATATTGCCGCCTATGGTTTCTTCTAGAATTTTTATGGTTTCAAGACTCAAATCTTTTGTGTATGATGGTAATTGGTGGTCAGGTTTTTTTTGTTTTGTTTTGTTTTTTCCTGTATCTGTACAATTTTCCTAGTACCATTTATTGAGGAGACTGTCTTGACTCCATTGTATGTTCTTAATCCTTTGTCAAGTATTAATTGAGTGTAATGGCTTGGGCTGGGGCTGTCTGTTCTATGCCACTGATCTATATGCCTGTTCTCGTGCCAGTACCATGTTGTTTGATTATAGTGGCACTAAGAACACGTGTCAAGAGTTCTCCATTTATTTTGTGATTCTTTGGAAATGTATTTTCCCCAGCTGATAAGATCCATAGGAGCATATCTGGTGTTTGCCTTTGCCTGTTTTACCCTTAGCACCTTGCACAGTGAGCTATTTGCTGACCTACCGCAGAGACTGGTGCAGCCCTTGGGCGTGGATACTATTTAGACACTTTCTTGTCAGAACCCTCAGTAAAATGCCTCTGGTGGTTTCATCATGGTATTCATTATAAGAGGGTTTAACTTACTAGTCAGCCTTCCAGTGGATTTTAGGATGATTTTAGTTTATATTCTTAGACCAACAAAAATGAAACAGATAACTCATTTGTTAACTTTATGAAAATATTTTATTTAACCAATCACATTAATGCCTTTAAATCATCCAAAATTTTGTATTATCTGCATTTTCATGGCTTACTGAGTGGGAATTTCACTTTTCAAAGTGAAATTTTATCTTAAAAAAAAGATATATATATATATATAACTATATATTGCTATATATTAATATATAGCAACGACATGTGCTGTTTAAAATTCTTTTAATGTTCTCATGTATAAGCTTCCCAGACTTTAGATAGTTAATAAATTTGAGGTATAACGCAAATATACACACTTTAATAGTATTATTATCTAGTGTATATCTTGGCATTTACTCATATCCCTTGAAGGCAGTCTTGTTATTTGGAAATATGTTTATTTCCTTGTCCCATTTTGCAAGATTTAATGTACAGAAAAATGTGATCGCATTATTATAAGGCAATAATATTACTGTTTATTGTTCTGCATTAATATTTTAAAAAAAAACTATTTCTTCATTTGATTATGATAACCTTTTTTAGGGGAAAAGTTTCACGGAACTGGTTTCTTTCATGCACAGATCCGGAAATGGAAAATGAGCCTCAGAGTGCTGATCAGACTGCGTCAGGCCCTCAGGAGGGGGATGGAGAGTCTCCGGAGGACAGCTCTCTGAACTCTCTCTCAGAATCATCATCTCCAGCAACTTCAGACAATGCTGCTCCTTCCCAGCAGGATTCTGAGCCCATAAAAAGCAAAGGGTATGTACGCTTTGATGATGAATGTACATATTTTGATGAAGATGAAGAACAATCAGAAACTGAGGAAGATTCTAAGCAAGATTCTAAGCCCCTACATCCCATAGTAGCAGACTGGAAAGAAGATATGAAAGCAATTAGAGAGCTGCAGAAGGAAATGATGAAGAAGAAGGGTGAACTATGACTCACTGAGAATCCAGTGGTAGGTATTTAACAAGAGTAGGTAAACTGTGGTTCATGGACACCCTCACACTAAGCAGGCTCTCCAGAGGGAGGCTTTAGTATGTGACGAACAGCCGCGTTCTGACTGGGATAGCTGGTTGTCATAGGAGCCTGGAGCTTGCGATGTTAGAACTGATCTTGTTTCAAGCTGTCCCCTGATAAATGGAAACTCACAGTCCCCTCGATGGCAGCACCGCACCACCCTGGCCAGGAGATGACTACCGGACGCGCCTCGGACCCAGGTTTCTGCAGGCTCTGGACAAACCAATCCGGTTAGTAGTGGGATGTGGAGTAGGAATTTGTATTGCTTCCTAATTAAAGGAAGCTTGACATTTTAGGTTTGGGGGTTAGAGTGTCTTCTGGGAAACACCAAGCATACTGTGGGCATTCTGGTTGTGCTGCCTTCACAGAAACACTCGAAGCAGTTATGAAGCAAATGTGTTCAGAGTCTTGCTCATCACTTGCTTCATGGTGTAGCAGATGATCAAAATGACTTGATTTCCCCCCTTAACAATGTCCTTTTCATTTAAACCAAAGGTGAAGCCAGTGTGCTTTCTCAGTGAGTTCTCTGCATAAGGACTAAACAGTGGGACCAGGTAAAAAGGTCATCTACTACATTGTGGAAATTGGTTACATAATGCTTTTGAAAGATGGAGCCAGGGAGAAACTAGACTGTTGCAATATGAGCTTGCCATTGGGCCTTCACAGGGAAAGCTGTGACTACTCTGAAGTGGAACGTAGTACTAGGTCCTTATAGGGTAAATGATAAACCTTTTCCCGTTCATTTCTCTTAGAGGTGATCCCTCTAGTCATCAGCCTTACTCCATCCCAGGTTTAGTATGCATTTTGAGCCACAAGGCCCAGGTGACTGATAGCTTAATACATTTTGTCCCATTTCTCTGTCTTAGGAAGCCATGGTCATGCTGTGGTAACTATAGTTTCTAAGTACCTAAGGAGCCTGTCACATTTTCTGTTGAATCATGGTTTTTAAATTTGCTTTCTCTTTAAAACAAATATTCCTTCTGATACAGACTTGAAAATTAGTGAATGGTAACCTGTGTAGAAAACTTACACAGTACCGACTAACATGCAGCCATATAGCTTAATAATTTTTTTTTGGTGGCAGTCTGGTGCTGGCCACATTGTTGATAGCTGTAGACAGTCCTGTAGTTGAAATCATGGCTTTATTTATTTTTTTAAAATTTACCTGAATGTGTTCTAAAGGCATAGTTTTTGTGAGTCTTAATTTTCTTTCTCTTTACCATGACATATAACCTCCTAAGACAGTTTTGAGGTACTGACGAACTGAAACTGTGTATGAAGCTGTTAAAAACAGCAGTGCTGTGTTGTACTTGTGTATATACATGTACAGTGTGTCTTAGATCCAGGTAGGTGTATTCTTTTATAAGAGGAAAAATCGCTGCTTTCAGAAACTCCAGCTAAACTTAATTGGGTCAGTGAACCATAAATCTAATAGAGAATTCACTTGGGGTGTATGTAGATTAGTATATAAGATCTTTATTGACCCTTAATTTGTCACCAAAATTGATATTTTTAATCACTGCATGTGAAATTTGGTGTAAGATGATAGAACTATAATACATACAGTCCACAAAGGGATAGACATAGTGCTTTGTTCACCTTAATTGCAAAGCTGCCAAAATAGCTAAAGCTTAATGACTTGCCTTGATTTATAGGCCTGGGGCTTGGCGAAAGGGAGCACATGTTCCTCTAAGACTGATTCTAGAAGTCTTATATTTTGTGATTTTCTCAGAGCCATTGTTGTTTAAATCTCACTTTTATTGAAACATTTTTTTTCTCCCCAGCAAATATTTTTGTGGCATACAAGGAAAAGCCAGCTTACTGCCACTCTACCTTCCTTTGGCCATTAGGGGGAGTTGTTGTCATTCTTTGAGGTCTAGAAGCAAATTGCTTACTTGTTTAGAAAAGTGAATCCTTAAGACAGGAAAGAAAATTTAAAAAATTAAATGGGGGAAAGTCAAGTATAACTCCAACATTGCAGTTGCCTCTACATTTCACATTTCTTAATTGACATACTGCCATGAAGTTGTTTTTCAGTTCATTAAAAAATTCCAACAGCATTAGAGTTTTTAAAAAAAAATACCTTCTATAGAGACTTTATTTACTTCTTAAGGATTCGGGGGATTCTAAGAAACCCTGAATTTTAGAAACATCTGGTCTACCTCAGTTAAATGTTGACTGCATAGAAATAGAGCTAAAGTGATCACCACAGCCATAAAATTGTTTGACTAAGAAGGAGTTATACAATGTTTACAAACCTGGAATCAAGTAAGGCTTTTATCTGAAAGTTATTAGAGCAAGTATTTAATTCAGGTATTTAAGTTTAACTTGTTTACCAACTAAAAATAGCTGTAGTTTTTTTTTTGCTTATCAGAGTCGATTGAAATGATATCCCCTTAATTTGCAATACTTTATTTGCCATAAAGTTTTGAAAGAATTGTAATTTACTAGTTTGGCGTGGGATAGGTTTTAACATTAATAGGCTTCCAACAAGAACATAGTTATTATTGCAGAACAAATAGTTTTTGACATACTTTTTACTTCACAGTATTAAAGAGTAAAATGAAAAATTGTGCACACACTCTGATATTCTAATTACTCCCTTAAGAATTTGTCTTAAATTACTGTCACACAGCCCTTTTCATAGTAAAACCAGCATTTGTTCTCTCACCAAACCCCATGCCAAATTCACCATAAAGAAAGCTCAGCATAAGTAATTTAAATAGTGCTTATAATCGTTTAGGTGGGGGCATTTAGTGAATATTCCAACCGGTCGTTTTCTGCACAAGGCTTTAGTCAGAACTAGAAAAAAAACATTCTATGAATGAAATATTGTATGTTCAGATTTTATAAGAGACATTTTTAAAAGCCCAATTTACAGCCGTATATTTTCTTATGATGTAATTTATGAAAAAGATAAGATGTCTGTACTAACAGGTGCTGTAACACTACTGTTGTTGGATTTTATTGTTTGGTGATAAATGTATACACTATTTCTAAGGGAAACTATGTACTGTGATGTAAAAGTCTGGGCAAAATGTATATAATCCTGTATATAAATGTGTATCTGATTATAATTACTGATTGTAAAGATTTAATAAAACATGTAAATATTCTGATCTAGTTTTAATTTGAACACCTTTAAAATGTTTTTATTACTTCTCAAGTCATCTTTCCTTTAATTTCTATTTTACCCCACTGGAATAAATTTAGGGGCAGCTTAGGGTAAGGAAACACAAACGTACCTTCAACAGCTCCGCGAAGGACCCTCCGAGTAGAGTTAATGATTCACAGTGTCAATATTGGCAACGTGTTCCCTCACATTAAATCAGTTATGCTGTCAATGTTGTCATCAAAAGTAGCACTCACCTCAGTTCCAGCGACGTTTTCTGTTAGCAGTCACTTTCAGGTCCTGTGATACTGTGCTTTTCCTCTGAACTACTTCAGGGCTTCTGAGTTCAGATATCTTGTAAGACCTAATAGAATTTATTGATTGGTCATTGCTTTCTTTTAAAGATTCGCAAACTAAGACTTAAGTTCTAAGCGTCTTACTCCAAGCCCTGCTTCTGGTGCCTGGGCATTGGGAACCCGTGCTCCTCCCAGTGTGCTGTGCTCTCCCCTTCTGTGCCAGGCCTCACCCCTCTCACCTTCACTTCAGTTTCAGCTCACCTTTCTGTGCTCAGCCACTGCCCTGCCATTTAGAAACGGTAGCATCCATTCTTAGGTTCTCTGGACATTCTTTCCGGTCCGTGTGCCTCCATTCCTATAGGACAAAGCACCAATATCTCAGGAAACAGCTACAGGATCCATAGTACCTCTTGGAAGATTTCACAGGTGAGGTTGCTTCTCTGAATAAAGCAAACTTAAAAGGTCTAAGAGAAGTAATTTAATGGTTAATGAGAAGGACATGTCAGCACCTGGCTGCTAGTAAGGCTTATATTTCTCAAAGCCTTCTGATCAGCCTGGAGGGCTATAATTCTTACCCACTCTCTTCCACAAAGCAAATGGGAGGCCGCCAACAGACCCTTGGGATTGTCTTAACACATTGCGGACGGATCGTGAGCATTCTCGTGTTTTCTGTTCTAAGACTTGTGGCGAGAATACGCTAAAAAGATACTAGCTTCTAAGAATATGTGATAACTTCAAAATGCAATGGATGTTTAATTTTAAAGCATGCCTTTACCATTTATGTAAAACGTTTTTTTGTACTCGTTTAGTAGAAACTTACCTGGCCACTGGGTAAAGCTAGCAATAAAACTACTGGTCCGTAATGTATTAAGTCACAGGATGTACGTGCCCTCCCAGATGACAGGAAAAACATTTGAGTTTAAAAGTTCTACGGATCTGTTTATCCAGAGACCGTCAAACCTCAGAGGAAAGGTAGGGGAGGGTGGGGGTAAGGGGTAGAGATCAACCAAAGGACTTGTATGCATGCATATAAGCCTAACCAGTGGACACAGACACCAGGGGGTGAGTGCCTGAGTGTGGGTAAGGGGTAGGGGGACAATGGGGGGATAAGGACACATATGTAAAACTTATAAAGAAAAAACAGTTCTATGATATGTTAGAGAACATCTCTACCCAATGCTTTTAATGCAATAGGATGGGATTTCTTAAAACAAAAACAATGAAACCCTCCCTTACATGGTCAAGAAGAGAATTAGTCCCTAAAAAGACGAATCCAAGGTAGAGGAAATTAATACTAAAGGAACTGGCTGCTACTCTCCCCACCAACATCACCACCTGGTGCTGGAGTTTTGCAGCAACATGAGCACATCTTACATGGGAATCCCCACCTTTAACTTTTCTGAACCTCCAAGAAAAGCCATTGATTGACCTTAGGTTCAAGAGGCAACTGACAATCACTGCAGGATAGCTTGTCTTATACTCGCTCTCCTCATTCTCCCATCCTGCTGCTTC